CCCCCGGTTCGGCCTTGCCTGCCGGTATGGGCGCCCGCTCGCCCCGGGGCCGCCGGCCCGGTGTCGGGGCGGCCGCGACCCGCGGGGACCGCGCGGAGGGGCCGGGCTGTCGTGGGGTCTCTCTGGGGACAGGCACCGAAAGGCTCCGTGTGCTGAAGCGGACGCTTTGGATGTGTGTGTAGGACTAACTTGTGCTGACAGCTAATTGTGGCGCTGTGTGCGGGAAGGCGGTTGGAGTTGGGATGCTGTCTGTCAGCTGGGGAGGGCTGTAATGTGTCCTAGTGAGTTATTTTTTATTGCAAGTAAAGTACTGATACTTTATCTCAAACTAAGTCCAGCTTTCAGTAATTCACGTGCATTTTTCACCAGCTTTCAGTAATTCACGTGCATTTTTCAAAGTGGCTTAAGGAAGCATATCCCAAAGACTGAGGGAATGAATGAACTTTCATAGACTCTCAGCTTGTAATTCTGTTTGATAATAAACTTTTTTATCCTCTCTTATTGCTGCTGTTTATAAATAACTTCTTTGTCACTCACCTTGATTAGTTTTCCCTGACAGGCAAAATTCTGTCAGAGACTACAGTCAACTTTATGTTACTAGATAAGATGAGCAGGACTGAAAGGGTAAATTCTGGAGGTTTTAATTTTGAAACTTGTGCGAGAGGCTGAGAGCTAAAGTTGATGCAGATCAAATATTTTACTCAGGTATTTGCATACATTAAAATACACCTGAATACTCAGTATTGTCTGGTGTTCCTGGAGATGTATTTCAGCTGTTAGGGAACAAACAGCAATGTTATCATGGTGATGAATAGAAGTATTAATTATATTCCTGGTTTCCTTTTGAATGACTTTATTTTCATCTGAGAAATGCCAGTCCCTGCTGATCAGTTTTAATTGCTATGTGTCACTAAATGTGGATTTGCATTAGATTTGCTGAACTAGAAAGCTAATATTACATCTGTGGGATATATGTATATATGTGTGTTCATCTCTTTGGCTTTTTAGTTTCTAGGCATTTTTGAATTAGAAAATGGTCAATTAATGCATTTTTTATGGTCTGGTAATAAATTTTCACTTTTTCACCAAGCTCTATTTGGCTGAAAATTAGATTTCATTAAATGCATGAGCATTTACTTTATTAACCAAAAACTCTTAACAGGAGGCTCAAACTTAAGTGTTCTGGACTTCTTGGTTATAATGTCGTTCAAATTTTTGAGACATGGTTTTTCAGACATTTAGATAAATTTGCTGACAGAGGAAGATGTGTTTTCCTGACAGTAAGAACTTTTCCTGGTGTGGCACAGTTACACCAGAGCTCCTCACTGCTGGGGTAAAACCCAGTGAACTCCACAGCTCTGCTTTAATTGATATAATTACACAAATAAGAGAAGTTTGTGGCACCAGAGCTGGGTCAGTCAAGAGTTGTGCCTGTTACAGCTCAAGCTGGTGAATAGTACAGCCATAGCTTAACTCCTGAAGAAGAATGGGATTAAAGGAATGAAGAACCTCTGGTAAAATGACCGTAAGAGCAAAGTTGCACCCATTCTTTTTGAAAAAGTTAATTTGCTTGGCTCTCATCCTGCTACTCTGCTTTGCATTCATGTGGTATTTGGTCTCCTGACTTCATAGTTTCGTGTCCATTGTAGATTTTTTTAAGCTTACAATTAATTGTAAACCTAATTGTATTGCAATACAATGTATGTATTTTCTATGATACTTAGTACCATGAGAGTCAAATACAGTAGAGTCGTTTGGGTGCTGTTGCATTACAGATTCAAATATTTTTTCCCCTCACATTTATATTTTTCAGTAGTTTTGATTAGAGGCTTGCTTTTCTGGATCCTAAGGCATATAACACTTGTATCCTGGAGAGGAAAAAAGCTAAATTTATGGAGGGGAAAACCAGGTTTCAGGAACTGGGATCAGGCCTCATTTTTTTGATATTAAGATCAGCTTGTATTTCCATAACCACAGTTCCTTCAGCTCACCCTCCTGTGGCTGGAGCAGGCAGGGGTTCATCATGTCCAAACTTGTGTTTGGAATTTAGGATCTCTGCTGAGTAGAGAGCTGGAACACTGGCTTGATAAACTTTCATGAGTAACTGAACAATTGCTGTTGGTTTTTTCCTAGGAAACTTGTGGGGGGATTTTTTGTTGTTGTTTGGGTTTTTGTTTGGTTTTTTTTTATTTTTGTAGAGGTTTGCTTATATTCAAAAGAAAAGCAATGGCAAATTCTGTTCAATGTTAATATGGAAATTAAATTAATCTAAAATTAGTTAAATTAGCTAAATGGAAACAAAATAGCTTTTCACGGGAAGGGTCGAACAGCCCTCAACTTAGGATAATTATTTTTCTAGGAAGCTTTCTAAGCAAAGAAATACATGGAGAAGTTTTTTTGGGGAGAACTTTGGCAGTTGTAGAAAACAGGGCTGTGTAAATTTTTGTTACTGTAACAGTACAAAATAGAGGCTTTTCCCTTCCATTATCTTGCCTTTCCAGCTGCTAGTGATAAAGAGCTTGTTCTTCTGCATAACTAAATAATATCCCTTGCACTGGCAGGGGTTGCAAGAGAAGTTTCAGGTGTTTCTGTTACATTTATTTATATTTTACCTTAGTTTTTTATTTATTTATTTTCACCTGAAGCTAGCTCTGTTCTGTAAAATGGCACTGGTGTTTATTGTCCAGACATTTCATGTGTTTGTGTGCACTGCTAAATTCTCTTCTCTGGACTCTGAAGGTGCAGTTGGACAGTCCCTGGCAGTCAGCAATCCTCACTGCTAAGTACCTGCTTTGTAAGGGGCTGTTTGAAATTCCCTGAGTTTTAAAATCCCTTTAGAGAGGCGATGCTGCTGAGCAGAGCAGCAATCCCATACGTCTGCCTATAAAAATGGACATCTCAAACTGCTGTGAGGAAGGATGCTCCATCCCTTGGAGTGTTCAAGGCCAGGTTGGATGGACTTGGAGCACCTGGTGTCTTGGAAGGTGTCCCTGCCCATGGCAGAGGGCGACACTGGATGAGCTTTAAGGTTCCTTCCTTTGCTCTGTACACATCCATCCAAGTGTCCTGAGCAATTGCACATTGGCCACTGGTAAATGTAGCTCCAGCTAAGTTTTTATTATTCATACTGGTGGCAGTTTAGCCTATCTTTTTACCAGAATATTTCTACCTTTTTCTCTCATTTTCCTCCTCTCTTTCCTATGCATTATTTCTTTTCTTGCTTTGTAAACTCAGCAGGATTAACTGTGGGACTTAAATGCTGCAGAAGAACTTGAATCCCACCTTAAGTTATCTTTTCTGTCACAGTTAGTTTTAAAAAAAAAAAATCCCCTGAGATGAGTGCAGCATGTCTGGAACACAAGGTATCATATTCCAGAGAGAAGCTTCTAAGTGTGGGTTTGACCTTGCACAAATGTGTTTAATCCCTGTTGTTTGTTTGCATTTGTAGTATTTAAACTACTACCCACAGTCATGACACTTTAACATTACTTTTATGTGCAATTGGTACTAGACATCTGTTTCATCCTTTGGAGTTTATAGAATCATATCCAAAAATACTTTAAAAGAACATAATGGTGCAGAGTCAGGCATTCAGGAGTTAGGAAATGCCAGAATTCAAGTTGCCTGCATTATTTCTTTAATTCTGAAATAAGCAGGACTTGCTCCTGGTTCTTTAAAGCAATAACCTGTTTCTTTTATGTGTTGTGATTAGATTAAAGTGTGGCTTTTCTTTGTAGTCTTAAAGCTCTTGGGAGCCCTGGTGAGGGAAAGTGGAATCCTAAGTCTTGCTGCAGGATGTGTGGAGAGTGGCAAGGAGAGCTGCAGCCCCTCTCATTTGGGCAGTTTTGCTGTCTGTACTGTGATGGTCAGAGGAATTACCAGTGAAAGAAATTGTTCACCTTGTTTAACTCTTTGTTTCTTTGCTGAGATTTATTCTTAGCAGGAGCTTGAGAGAGGATTGAAACCTCCAGTGTTCCAGGCTCAAGACTGAAAATAAGTTTTTCTGTGTATCTTGTGCAAAACCCTTAATGTTTTTGCTGTCTTAACCCCATGACAGTTTGTAGCTTCAGTGAAGAAATTAGGCTATTTATCTAATGCAGTAGTTGAGACCAAATCTACTGGTGATTCAGTAGAAGTTTTTTCTGTGATGTTGTTTGCTTCATATTTCAGTCAGAAGTGAACTCTGAGAACTTTTGAGGTCAAAAGAGATGGATTTTTAGTAAAACACTTTTATGATGTCCTGTGTATACACTCCAGAGAACAGTAATTAGCTGCTTTCCAATACATCATAATTTTTCCATTGTATTTTCTGTTTATGACACTCTCATCATTCCTGTGGAAAATGGAATTCTCTGTGCTGACACAAAGCTGTTGAGTTAGAAGTGCATCTGCAAGGAAAGGCTTTAGAAATGCAAGTTCTTTGTTTAACCCAGGTCTTGGAAGTATCAGGATGGTTCACCCAGGCCAGTTAGCTCTACTAAATGCAAAATGTATAATTACGATGTTCACCCTTTCTCTGTATATAATGTCATATAATAGAAATGTTTGGAATAAGCAGGTACATGTGATGACTTGTGGAGAAATGGTTTTAATTTTCCTTGAAATTACTCATTAAATTATTACTTGAGATACGTGTCTTAGGAAGAAAAGGATGTTTAAGGCAAGGTATAAAATATATGCTGGTTCTGCTGTTTGGCACGGTTAAAATTACCCTTTTTTATGCTCAAGTTCCCTTTTTTTTTTTTTTCTCCTTTTCTTTTTTTACTGTTTGTCCTGGGTGGGTGAGCAGCTCTTTGGCTCTTTTGCTCTTGGTGTGATTGTTATATAGAGTGAGTGGTATGGTTAATTCTGTCACAGAGCAGTGAAAAATGGGATACTGAGTATCAGAGCTGATGTGGCACCATCAGTGCTGACCAGGAGAGGTCCTGTGTTTTGCCATGGGGAAGCACTGCCAGCTTCCTGTTAAACTATTTTGGCCCTTTAAAACATAAAAAAATGGATTGCTTTGCAAGGTAACATGTATAGCGTGATACAGTTGGTGGCAGCTCTGCATTACAGGTTGAGGTGCATTGAAGGATCTGTGAATATTGCATATTTTGTGTCCTGATAAGCTAGAACTTGTCAGCCCTGCTCCACTTTCTCATAGTCCCAGTGCTTCCCAGGCAAAAGCTGTAACTTGGATTTGCCTGCTGGAGACAAGCAAGGCATGAGCTGAGCTAAGAGGAATTGGGAATGGCAGACTCTATCAGCATAAAAATAACATTACTTAATGACAAACAGGACAAAAGACTATTTGAAAGAATTGAGAAGACAACCTGGGAGAAAATTAAAATGAGAGGAGAGGGAAAACTGGGCTTTTGTTGTACAGAAGAAACAAAGTCTGATGAGAGTGGGGATTCAGGGAAGGGAAATTGAGTTCATTGTCACTGAACATTTATGATGTGTGGATGTAATTTATTTTACAGCTGCTCCTCGCCAATTTTCTTTTTCTTTGGTCAGTTGTTAAAAAACAAAGCCATCTGCCTTCTTTTCATGTTATGCTTGTTTACATAAACTGGATGAATATTCTCTGAATGTGAAGTGCATGTTCTGCATGACTCTGCTTTCATTTCTCTTTTTTTTCTTTTTTCCTCCTGTTTTATTCTGCAGATTCCACCAATCTGCAGGCAAGGATCATGGCACAGTCTGGGAGGGAACTATTCAAGACCATTATTGGAGCATTCAGAGGTGGGTATAAACTGTTTTTCCAACTTGTAGGTCATGAGAAACTTAAGCCTTTGGAGCATCTTTCAGTTTAGACTGCTGTTACTTTTATTTTTTTAGTTTCACTATTTATAGTTCTGAAGTTAAATGGCAACTTATATTTCTGCCCCTAGAAATGTTTTTGAATCTTTGAAAACCAATGGTAACACAGTAACTTCAAAAAAGAGTTCTTAAAAGTGTGAGTTTTGCATGGTGATATTTAGATGGATTTATTAAATACTGTGAGTTTTCTTTCACTGTGTAGGGTTTTATTAGTTCAAAATTCTGCTTAAGTGTTGAATAAGCTAAGAATATTCTCATAACTGAGTGTCATAACTAAGTCAGGCTCTTATTCCTATCAGGTCTGCTTGCCTTAAAACCAGTGCAAACACAGGAAAGATGCAATTATTCCTGTTCATGGAAGAAATGACACATTTCTGAGTAACACACTTCTTTGAGGGAAACTGGGAAATGTATTTGTCTTGCTTTTCTTTTTTGTTTTTAATTATAAAATAATAACTACTCATAACTGACTTAAGTAGTTAAAATCTTGTGAGGGTCATTGTACCTTCAAAGCATGAAATCTACTTAGATTGGGGTTTTTGGATGCTTTTCTTTAAAATGTAAAAAGCGACATTTTGATTTGAGAAACCCTCGGGTCTGCTATCAACAAACATATATAAAATAAGATTGCTAATGAGCTTTTACATAACTTGAACCTGGAAATTGTCAACATGTAGCAAATCTTTTAATCAAAAAGCAGATTCTTTTTTGAAAAGTTTAACAGCTCCATTATTTGTGGCAGGCACTTTGAACTTGGAAAAATACATGGTGGTAGCGAGTTGTTATTTTTTAGTACATCTACATGCATAAATAAATTCAGAAATTTTCTCCAGGGAATCTTTGCTACATACTAAGAGAAGTGAGCATTTGTTTTTAACAAGCAGGTTCTTTTCCAAGCTGGCCCTGGAATGGATTGCAGCAGGGCCTCTGGAATTGGATAACATGTGCCCATTCCCATGCTGGTAGGAAAGACAAGTATGAAGCAGATTTATCTATTTTTTTTTCCCTCAAGTAAAGTTACTCTTACATACATGGAGAGAGTATTATTGCTTAAATGTGTTCCACTTTACATATTAATGTGCCCAAGTATGGTTATCCTCCAAAACCTCAAGGTTTTTCTGTGTTCTTCAGCTCATTTTCAGTATTTAAGGATCTGTTATCTTTCCCTCCTGGCTGCTTGGAACACGGTCTTTGCTGCTAGGATTGTTATATCCCTTTTTTGTTACTGTTTTCTAAAGCAGGGCAAGGTTTTTAGAGGGAGGTGAGATCTTTTATTAAAACAAGTTTAAACTGTTTGATGATGAGAGAGATAAAACAAACCAGTAGTTTTTCTTTTTGCTGGCTTTTATGTGCCTGGTTCCTGAGGTTCTTGCAAATTGACTTTTCATTTTCACACAGATCCTGCCCAGGTGGCAACTGATGGAGAAGAGGATGTGTTGGCATGGCCATGCTGGTGGAGGGCTTCACACAGATCCAAAGGAAGGGGTAAAACTTGCTCAATTATTATTGCTTTTTAAATAAAAAATGTTATCAGCTTCCCCAGAAAAACTAAACCTAAAAACTGAAGACCTCAAGCAACAATATGTCCAAAATTCTCTTGGTAGATATATAAATATTGTAATAGATACTGTTAAATTGTTAATGTAGACTTGCTGGCTCTTAAATCACCAAATGTTTGTGATAATAGTGTTGAAGGACTTTATTTGTTTTATTAAAAATACCATTTTACTGTTACACACTCCCTTGAAATTGCCTTGGATTAGAGTCTTTTGATGGAAAATATGTTTTCTTGTCATGCATTAGTCTGTTGATCTTGTTTGTGACTGATATTTCCCTGTGACTTGGCAGACAGAATAGTAGAAATCAGCTTGTGGATTATTGCATCAGTTGGTAAAATTACACTTGAAATGGGAGGGGAGAGAAGCAATTAAACTGTGTGTATTTTTACTTGGAATTAATGGCAATACATCTGGTATATTTTGACTGTATTTCTATTCAGGAAGCACATTAAAGTAATGATGATGGTCTATGAGGAGAAGCAGGATCTTTTATTAGACCAAATGATTACAATCAGAAAATGAGGCAAACTTTTGGTTAAAACAGGACAGTATCAACTGTGTGATTAAAATTGCCAAATCAAAGTTCTTGAGTGTACAGAACTTCCATCTTCTCATTTCCTGGGCACACTTATTTCTGATGCTTTGTGTATTTGCAGAATCATTCTGTATGAATGGTTATAACTTGTTCAAACTTGGCTGGAATATTCCCTAAAATTAATGAAGGCTACATTGATGACAAACAATTTTCAGTTTCAGAATCCAGGTCTTTCAGGGCTGCTTTGCTGGTTAAACTATTCTGAGGATGCCTCTCCTACAGCCTCAGTTGCAAAGAAATTGAAGAGTTCAATTTAGGATTTTCTTTCAACTTTTCATCTGAGAGTTGTCCCTTCAGTGAATCCAGACCTGTTTGTGCTACAGGCAGAAGTCAGAAGAGGTGTATGTTTTCTAGTAAGAGGGAATTTCATAACTGAGGTGTAGCCAGCTTGTTTCAGTAAACACCTGTGATCTTTTCTGCATGAAGCACAGGGGGAAACAAAATAATTGGCCATCTCCAGTCAGTGATACCCATGGCTGTGCATGTAACATTAACTTCAAACTCATTTTAAGACCCTCCTGGCAACAGGTGTAAGTTCTTTTCAGAGATTTCCTGGGCAAAACAGATTTCAAACCTTCCTTCTCTGTTTCACATGTTTAAACTCCCAGGTTTTCTCTGATCAGAAAGGAAATTGAAGGTTCTTTTTACCACAGCACAAGTAACCTTAAGGGATGTTGGATGTTCTTTAACACTAAAACTCACTAGCAATATATTATCCAAAAATTTTGATGCCAGATGATATTTTTTTTAATTTGCTGTCAGTGTAAAATTCCATTGGCATTCTCCCTTCAGCCACTACTTGAAGCTATTCCTGTATAAATCAATCCCTTAACTTCTTTATTCCAATAAATGCAGCTGAAACATGGTTAATACAGGACATGGTCAGTTAAGGCTGTTGTCTGACTAAACAAATACCAGCTGTCCAGGAGAAAGCAGCAAGAACCAGCTGTGGAAGAGGTGAAATGTGTGGAGAGTGGAAAAAAAATAGGGTAAGGTTTGCCTGGAATTTCTCAGCAAAACTGAAGGGAAGGAAATACTCTGCTGCTCCAAGTGCAGTTCCTGTATCTCATGTATGCATGCACTTGTATTCAGTGTGTAAAAATACTGGCACCCTATTTACTACATTTTCCCCATAGGATTGTACTTCCAGGAGAACTACAGGTGAGGTACCTGTCAGCTCTAGTACACCTTTCCCTAGTCCATATTTTTTCTGACAAACCAGGCTGTTTATTCTGACTTTGGGAGTGACATTTTAAATTGCCCCTTTTACAGCAGCTTCTGCAGGTACAGAACTGAACCCTAAGGATGAGCACAAAGTGAAGAGCACATTACCTTCATCTCACATATAACTACTAAAGAAACACTTTTTGAAATTCCAAACTAGCTTTTTACTTACAGCAGTGGCTGCTGTGCTGAGTACTGAGATCAGAACTGATCCTTACCAGCTTTGTGGGATATTTTGGTGCTGGTTGGAAGAATTGCCTCGTGCAGAGGGAGAAACTTGTGCTGGTACAATAAAAGGGATGATAGAGCTCCCTGAGGGAGCACATGGGGAGCCAGAATTGTGTCTTTCTCTCTTCATCAGCAGTGACAGCTTAAATTCATGTCAAATTACCACTTTCTTGTATCCCAGTTCTGACAGCTCATCATCCTGGCACAGGCTTTATCCACCAAGTGACAGGGTCAGCCCAGTGAATGCCTTGCAGTACTCAATAACCATGGAGATGGTGAAGAGGAATTATGGCTTTCTTTTTTTTCCCCTTCTTTAAGTACTTTAAAAGGTCCCAGAACCTGGATGGGATGGGTAGAAGGGAAAAGAAGTTGGTCAATGGTCATTCTTTTGCAGATAATCTTCAGTATTACATAGTGTTTTAAAACCATGCTGTATTCAAAAAGAGGAAAAGGCTTTCCTTCTTTGCTCCCTGCTGTATTAGTTTTATAATATTTTTCCTTCCATTCCTTGCATTTCTGTATAAATAGACCTGTAAAGAAAATGTAAAACATTACTACCATTTAAAAGGAAGTAAAATAAATTCATCTCTTAACCTTTTTATGTACCTCAGAGAATCAAAAAAGGGCCTGAGTCCATTGAACAGATTGCTCATTTTAATTCTTAATGTTGCTACTTGCATATTTAAACAAATTTTTAACTCATGTTTCTGTACAACAGTAACATTTATTTCATGGTAAACTTTGATGTAATATGTGTGCATTTTGCATCCTTTGATATTCCTTCTTGTTCCTTTGCAAGGCCTGTGGCAAGTGAGTGGCTGCCTCCTGACTTTTTTCTAAATGGATTTACTTCTGTCACCGTTCAGAGCCATGAAAAAAGGAAATAGATTCCTTGTTTGCAGCCAATATATTTTGTTCCTTTTAATAGATTTTCTGTGCAAAGTCTGCCTAGCCAATAGCAACATATAATTAGAACTGCTCTGATTGTACTTTTGTATCTTCTGTGTTAATGTGGTACCAATTTTTTTAACTTCCTTTTAACCTGTAAGTGGTGATCAAAGATATTTTCCACGTGTTTGAACCACATTTTATGCATATCCTTGGCTCAAATAGAAAGATTCATGTATATGCTGCAGCAGTTATCTCCATCTTTCAAGTGGGTAGGACACAACAGAAGCATTTTTGCATCCTCTCTCCACTGACAAATCTCCATATACCTGTTTTTTAAAAGTAGTTTGAAATGTGCTTATCCTGCGTAATGTTCCAATGGATTTGCAGTGACATTTGGTGACAAAATGCCTTGGTTTTGCTTGAAGCTGTGACTAGAAAAACTGAGATGAATTTCCTGGTGCTTTTAAAAGCTTACCTTTATAGGATTGGCTTCCCTGGTTGCCTCAGCAATTTTACCTTTTAACAGACCTCTCCTTTCTTGCTTATTCACCCCAGACCTTAACAGAGAATTTCTTTCCTAATTTGGTTTATCCTCAAACAGTAAGATTTATTATAACGCTCCCCCTTCCTACTGACTTCTGTCACAAGAGTCATCTTTGAAAGGTGTGCACTAACTTTTTGTTTCCCTCCCTCCTCCCCACTACAAAATATTGCCTGAAATGGGGAGATTAGCTGCCCTTGTTGCCCTCCTTTCTGTCTTAGCCCTCATTCTTTCAAGCTAACCCCAGTGTAGCCAACATAGAAGGAGTTGCTAATAGTTGTGCTCTGTGTTGCTGCACATCCTCCTGTCCTCAATTAGGAAATGTGGTTTAGGCTGCAGTTAATTCAGCTTGGGAATTCAGTGGGATTATCAAAAGTGTCAGTGGTAAACATCTGTCCATCTGGAAAATAGCCTCCCTTGCTGTAAAAAAATACAGCAACCACACCCAACAGTAGAAGAATAATCCCAAAACAAAACTTAAAATAAACCCAAACAGGAAAAGGAATGTTTTTCAAGCTGTCTTGTTAAATGGATCGTGCTCTTACTTAGAGCAAAATTTGAGATTTGGAGGAGAATCTATTTAAAGAATTCAGTTAAAATTGATAGCATCAGTTAAGCCAGGACATGGCCATGTACATCTTCTGCTTTGTAAAGCCTGATTATCCAGTGTTAGGGAATGTTCTCCAAATGATGTTTATTGTGGACATTTCAGGCTTCCTTCTTGCCTTAGTTATTTTGTTAATGTGTTAAATTTTTTTGCATTTCTCTCCTGCTATCTTAAAACATCTTCCAAAAAAGAAGTAGCAAGCCCTTGAATTTTGTACAGCAATCTTGAGGAGATAAAAAAGAAGGGTCAGTTTGTTCTGTGAAGTATTTCAAGATGGGGAATTGTGGCTTTCTCTATGTTCCAGCTGCAGCCAGTCAGACTTGCACTCTGGAGAACATGGAACATTTTAATGGCATGTCATGGATATAAACTTCCACCTTGAAATGTTCACAGGCAGTCCTAGTCTCAGACATTGTCCAGTGTCTGTTTCCTATCAAATAAAACACAGAAGTGATCCAATTGTATAAAATTCATTCTTTTTTATAGTTCTTTTACTTCTCAAGTCTCTTTGTAAGGCGGTGCCTTTGTTTGTCCTGTCCCACAGCTGAAGGAGATCGATGCCAAGAAGATCATCAGGGCAATGCTGTCCTACGTGTGGCCCAAAGACAGGCCCGACCTGCAGGCCAGGGTCGCCATTTCCCTGGCCTTTCTGGCAAGTGCCAAGGTAAGAACAGACACTTGTTGTGCTCTCACAGTTGCTGTTCACCTGTACAAGGAATCATTTTCTTTTCTAGTATTTATGAGCTTTTACGCTCTTAAGATGTCTGGGTTTTTCACAGGAGCATATACGAGAAATGATAGCTTGGATTTCGGAGCAGGGTATATCTGCAGGTAATGTTTAGGGAAGTGATGATGTGCATGTGGATGTTTAGGAAGGTGATGATAACTAGAATTTTTGTTTCCCTTGATCTCATTAGCTTAGCCCAGGATTTTCCATTGCTGGTTAATTATTTACCTCAGAAATTACAGAAAAAAGGAGTTAAAGGCTGTTCTTCTCTGCTTGTGTGGTGCTGTCAGACAAGCTTGCTTCAAGGCTCTCTGCCCATTCTCAGCCCTGAACTTGATCAATGTGGTGGTGCCTATTCACAGGTCTTGCTGTGCTGTGGAAGGAGGATTTGAGCTCCAGTCTGTTGATATTTCTCTGTGAGATAACAGAAGAATTAATTATTTTAGGGACTCCTTTGGTGTCCTAATATGAGAGAAGCTGTACAACCTTTTGTATTTAACAGCCCTGCTTTCATTCAAATGATTTTTCATGTAGTCTTTGATTATGAAATGGAAGATTGCTCTTACTTTTATTTCATTATGTGAAAGGATCTTCTATATTTTTACTTGCAACAGCATTAGTGTTTATTTGTTCTTTCAAAGAATTTGGCATGCAAAAGTGTTCTGCAGATTAAAAGGGGATATAATTCAAATTCTGTGCAAACCTTGTAGAAATAGTTCCTAAGAGCAAATGTTAGCTTCCTTTTGCTTTAAATAAAAAAAGTATTTGATTGCAAAATACAGGGAGGAAGTTTTGCGAATTCCATTGAGACATACAGCTCAGCTGGGTTGCTTATAAGTACAGCAATTTTAACCAAACATAAAGCTAATATTAGCACTAAGCACCATTGCCATGCTATGAAAAGAGAGAAGAGACAAATTTCAGCTCTGTAGGTGTTAAAAGGGGAGTGCTTGGGAGGAATTGCTGGTCTATAGTGCTTTCTCAAGAGGTTTTTATCTCTCAGGTACTCGTGGGTACTGTCTCCAGCAGATATTTGGGTTGTGCTGCAGTTTAGGATGTTGCTGATAATGCAAGTGATGACATGCAGAATATGGCTGGACTGTGCAAGTGAACTTTTCCCCTTTTTGTGTGCCTGGGCAAAACACGCAGCAATGCTTTCCACTGCATTTTAAAACTCTGGGGGAAACTCTTCTCAAAATGCAGATGCCTTCAGGTTTTGTGATGTGGATCTACCAGGTGGATATAAAAATTAGTCTAACACACTTCCTTTCTCAAGACTCTTATTAGTAATGTTAATAGTAAACTGAAGACAATTTTTAAATGTTTGAAGTATTTTTTTCTCTTCTCCCCACTTGCCTATTCCCTAATTTGTAGTGTAATATGGATATGATGGAGAATGTGAATGAATCCAGCCTCTAATCCTGCATGTGGCAGCACTGTACCTTGCCTTTAAGAAGTCTTATTAATGTTTCAAGCAGCTTTCTGGGGTGTTAAGAAAACAAAATTGATGACCAGCATGCCTTGACTCTAGCAAATAGTATTTGGTGTAACAAAGAGCTATTCTATTTCTACTGAGAGAGAGAGAGAGAGAGACTTTCCCCCCATCAGAATATCATTGAACTGCTGTTTTGGGAAATAATTGGGTGTTTGGACCTTTTAAATATTCTCTTAAGTTTCCTACTTTATATTTGTACAAGGCAGCTCAGAAGCCCTGATGTCCAGAGCAGACTCTCAGAAGAAAAGCAGAAAATCTGTTGAGCTTTTCCCAGGTTTTAGGAGATGCTTGTTAAAGCAGAAGGGTTTTGTGAGAATGTTTGGGCAAACAAGGATTTCATTAGGAAAACACACAGCAAGCTCTCTATAGAAAGTAAATATCATAACTGGCAGGGGTGAAAAATTTTATAGACATCTTCTAGCTGTCCTTTGCTACTGTTCTTTGTTTTGTTCTGTTACTACAAAGCTGTGTTGGATAACTCCAAATTAAGGAGTTACCCCTCATCTTAGGAGCTGTGCTCACTCTTCCTTTGTGGGAAGAACTTTTCTTGAGTTGCTTCATACTTTACACATACTGTGTGTGTCAGTGTGACACAAGTGATGTGCAATAGTTTACTCCAGAGCTGTAGTGAGTCTGTCACATCTTTGGGCCCTGAACATCTGCTGCCCTTCCAGAGCACACAAAAGGTCACTTTGTCCTGGAGAAAATGCAGTACAAAGTAGTTTACCTGTATCTTTCCTGGACCATGTGTAATTGTGTGTGGTTTCGTCATTATCCCATTTGGGAGCCCTTTGTTCTGGTTGCTTGTGAGGTTAATTACAATGCACTCCAAAGACCACACAAGCTGTTTGTTAAAGTTTTTCTGCTATATAATTGTGTCAGCACAGGAACACCAGCATGTTTTTTTTCCTCCCTGCAGTCCTGGCCTGATTTCTTTGTTCACTATGGAACAAAGTGAATTCTGTGTCTGAAGGATTTACATCTTTATTGTGGATTTTGTCTAAAGGCCCCTCGTTCTGAGGGGGTTTGCATAGAGAACTGTATGGTCACGATGGCTGCTGCAAGTTACCTCCCCCCAAAAGAAACACTTCTATAAGCCTTTTGGCCAATTCCTTCTGAGTTTGACAAAAAATTTTTAGGTTTTATACCTCTGAATTTACAGCATTAGGTTTCAAGTTAAAATACAGCAGCTGTAATGTGGCTTTGGCTTTATTCTGTGAAAATTCCAAGGAATCACAGAGGACAGGTAGGTTATGAAATTCTCAGCTATGAGGGAAAGATGTAAGGAATGACACCCCCAGTTTAATTTGGTTACTTACCCACAAAACAGCTGGAGTTCACTTCTCCTTGTGCTGCTGCTTGAGAAATAATTTGTCTCTTTAAATCTCCCAGTTCAGTAAAATACACTTTCAAAACAAAAGTCAGTTTGTGTGCAACTACTGAAGAGCCTGCAGTTACAATCTGTCTTGACTCCTTTTGTGGGGCCCAGTTGCCTGTCATTGAACAAATTATTGTGATTTTTGGTTCCTTTTTGTCTCCACATAACTGCCAGTGGTATTGTGAGCCTTCAAAGCGAGCTGTTAGTATGGCTTTTTATGACAGGATGGAGTCTGCTCCAGGGCTAGTGAGGTCTTTTCTTCCTTGCAAGACTTGTTGTATTATTATGACACACTTTAAATTTTTACCTTAAATATTTATAGCCTATCTAGATGTGTGTACATGATCTGAAGGATGCAAGAGGAAGGCAGGTGAGAGGAGTACACAGGGCATTATCTGTGTTTTCAGTCACATAGCTCAGCCTGCTCAGCTTCTGCATATCTGGATTTTCTTTCTCCATGTTCTCCCCCCTTTTTTGGCTTCTCTACTGGTGATTGTATAGCAAATGCTTCCTTTTCTGATTTTTCCCTTTTTCTTCTGTGGCACAAGGAGAAAGTGCTGAGGCTTCTGAGGAGCTGGATTAAACACATGAATATGACAAAATCACTTGTCACCTCTGTCAGCCTGCAATGGGTTTTGGCCTCCTGGTCACAGACCAGGCATGTGTTATTCATGAGCTAAAGAATTCTTTCAGACTCTCTGCATTTCTACTGACTGCTAATTCCATCAGTTTCAGAACAGGAATGGTTGGCTAAGGAGGCAGGACACAAGGGTTGAATTGCAAATTCTGCCTGTACGCAAAGATAACGATATCCAGCTGATCAGTGAAGCATGTTCCTATGATCTTGGTGTTTGAGCTCTTTCTAAGGGCTCAGATGGAGTTAGATAATTGCAATAAACCTTTAGAAATTGTTCGCTTTTTGAGGAGTTTCAGGTGAAAAGTATTTAGATTGGTTTAGGTTTTTTCCCTACTGGAAAAAGAGTAGTTCAGGTCATCATTAAATTTGAAGAAACCATGAAGCCAGGTGCTTTTTCCCTCATCTGGAGCACATTTTGGAGCTTCTTCAGCAGTCTTGCCTCAAGGGATGGCGATTTCTGTGTGTATCTCCACAAATGGAGCTGTTGGATGTATATGTTTATATTGGTCCAGAGATAAATTCAGTCATCTTCATGCCAGCGTTTCTCACTGAATTATTGGCAAAGAACAGTTCACTGTGGACCAGTTTTATCTTGTTGGGGCTCAGCCTGTCATTAATTCATCATCTTTATTAAACAAAAAATGCTGGGAAGAGCAAAATGAAAGATAAGGCTGTTTGCCTTGAAAGTAGTGTAGTCCCATGGGGGAATAAAGATGATACTGCACTGTCAGCTTAAAACAGTGCAGTCATTAAAAAAATGTTTAAACTCATTTACTCATGATTCATTCTAGGGCAACCTGCTGTTAAATGTGGGCAATTGAGTTGGGATGATTTCATGGAATGCTGTACTTGCTTTCCAATAAATTCAAGCAAGGATAAGCTATTAATTCAAACCCAGAAATAGAAAATGTACAAATTCATATTGAAAGAGTCTTTTTAATGGGAATTGTTATCAAGCTTTCAGGCATTAGGCGGAGGAGGGAAGCCTGTACAGATATATTGTGTAAGACAATTGTTTTTCATGGTAGATTTTCATGGTCTACCAAGGTGTGCTTAAAGCTTTTTGTTCTGTGCCGGCAAATACAAAGAGAGAACTGTGAATTTATGCAGAAGGATGAAATTTTGTTTCCATTACTATGAACGTGATCTCATTGACTTAACAAATTGAGTAGGAAAGGCCTGTTTCTAATAATGGCCTCTCATCTCTTGCTATAAACTTTGTAAGATTAACTTTTTTCTTTTTAAATTATTGGAAACCAGACTGTCTTGATTGCTAATGAAATGCAATACTGTGCTGCCTTGTTCTTATTCAAGCTTTACCCTCCAGGAGTCAGAACAACTATAACCCAAGACCAGGCTTTAAATTTCATTTAAAACTCTATTGGGAAGAATTATATTGATGTAAAAGAAGACATTTCTGCAAAATTGTAGGCTGTTACCACTTAAATTAATTGTAAGTGGAAAAGAGCAGATTGAAGAATACATCTCTTTTCTTTAAATGGACTTTACATATATGTGTAGTTCTATTTCAAAACTACCTGTAGTGTAGCACAGTCTAGTAAGGAATAAAATCCCTGCAGAGAGATTTGTGAGAACCTGCAGCAAACGAAGACCATCTGCATAACAATATTCTTATTTTCTCCTGAGAGGTCTCTCCCAGGAAAACCTGCACTTTGTCATGTTGCTTGTCACTGGAACACACATGGCTGTAGATTCATCTTTATCAACAACAAAATGCCATCCCAAAATCGAGTTTCAGTATCTCTGAAGGCAAAGTGGAGTTGTTTGGTTATACTGGGGAAGGGAGAGGGATTTGGGATTTCCACAGTTCCCATCTGCTAGAAGGGGAGCTGTGGCTGAAGGACTCTCAGGCCGCACTGGACAAGTTCCAGAGGAATGTTGGAAGTAGATCCTGGTCTTTCAGCTGTTTTCTCTCTTCAGTCACTAACAAACCAGCACTAATCTCACCCAGGTGCCCTCATATCTCATGTGTCTCCTCTCAGGAGTTATCTAAATTATGCTGTGTTGAGAATTTTATGTGTTTTTTCTAATGTATTTCTTAGGGAATACATGGAGGAAGAGGAGAAAATGAATTCCTTCCTCATTTGCATTTAAATCTTTAACCTAAAACACTGTCTAAAAAAACAGCACAGATTAAAAAAAATAATTTACATTTTTTTCTTTAAGTCCGTAGTTTACAAAAATATTTTCAAAACCCAATTACTCTGCTTGGTGAAGTTTGTACTTTCCACTATTTGCCATAACTTGTAAAACTGGGAATATTGGATCCTGGGACAGTTATTAGAGCTTCTGGAAGTCTGTCTTCCCCCTTGAATTTGGACTGAACTTAAGAATGACTTTATCATTCTTTTCTCTCAAAATCTAGTTTTATCCAGTTAATCTACAGTTTTTCCCCTGGGCTTTCAGCTCTGACAGATGTCCCTAAATACAATTGAGATCTAAGTGGGTATCCAAAACATTTGGTGGAGAGAGCTGAAATATCTGTATCAATCTGGTTTCTGTTTTTTGTTTCTTCTCATGTAAAACAATTTGTCATCTACTCACAAGTTTTTTTCCAAAATACTAAAAAAAAAAATGCCCAACCTTAAGCAAAGTCAACTTGCTGTAAAGTATTTTAACATCTGCTGTGATTGTAAGACTGTAGTCATAACATGCTTGTTCAACTGCTAAAAATGTTATATCCTTATTTTCAAATCTCAACAGTTAGGAACAGTTTGAATTAAGAAATTCTATTAATTTTATGAAGTTTGTCTGTGAATTGCCTTTCTTGTTGGTATAAGTGAGCAATGTAACAATGGTGCATTAACAAGGAATTTTATGTTTTCTGTGAGATTTTCCATATTTTCTTGTGCTACAGTTGTGCAAATAAAAAACTGCTGAAGTCGGTATGTTTACATATCTGTTCGTTTGGGGTTTCACATCTAGAGGGGCCACCACTGTTGACACACTGAGTGATAGGTGGTGGATGTGACTTTTTTGCTTGAAAACTAATATTTGTACAGTAATTTGTAGTGTCTTAAAGACTGTACAGAAAATCTTTTGTGCTGCTGTGCCAAACCCCTGGGTTTATGCTGACACCATATTAATATTTGGAGAGATGTTGCAAATGGGATTATTTAAATTTTAGGGGCGTATTAACAGAGACAAAGGAGGAGTTGGTTTATTTTCTTTGACTTCCTTGGAGCTTTGGTTTAATCCATCCCAGTGACCCAGTGTTAGCAAAGTGCAGGTGAGTGGTTTCCTGTGGAGCAGAGCTTCTTCACACTGTCAGCACCACAAAGTGCAAACAGCTCCAAATGCTGACACAGTTTCATAGCACCGTGTGTGCCATGCAATGGCTGCTGCTTGATTAATTTCCTGGGCTTGCCATGCTGTCCTGAGAGCTCAGCCTCACTTCAAGGGCCTTTGCAGTGTAGTTTGTTGAGGATAGAAATCCATATTTAAAAGGAAACAGTAAGAGAGACAAAGTAACCCTGCAATCCCAGCAGCAGTGAAGAGCCAGCTCACCTGCACCAAGTGCTTAGAGACTAAATATAACAGTAGAGCAAATTCAGAAAAAAATAGTCGTGATCCATACATGTTTCAATGCAAAAAGTCTAATTGTTGTGCTCCTGCTTTCAGGCCATGAATATATTGGTTCCCTTCATGTTCAAATATGCAGTGGACAACCTCAACCAGGTGTCTGGGAACGTGCTCAACCTCGGCGATGCCCCAAGCTCTGTGGCCACCCTGGCAACTGCTGTCCTCGTGGGCTGTGAGTGCATTCCCAACTCATGGATGGGAGCTAAGGCTCTGCAGGGACGGAGGGAGGGGCTCCTGCCCATTGCTGAGCATCACAGCTGGTTGTGAATCTCAGAATCACAGGGTGGTTTGGGCTGGAAGGCACCTTAAAGGTCATCTGTGGGCAGGAGCACTTCTCAATACCCCAGGCTGCTCCAGCCCCATCCAGCCCGGCCTTGGGCACTGCCAGGGATCCAGGGGCAGCCACAGCTGCTCTGGGCACATGTGCCAGGGCCTGCCCACCCTCCCAGGGAGCAATTCCTGCCCAATATCCCACCTAACCCTGCCCTCTGGCTGTGGAAGCCATTCCCTGTGTCCTGTCCCTCCATGCCTTGTCCCAAGTTCCTCTCCAGCTCTCCTGGAGCTCCTTTAGGCCCTGAAAGGGGCTCTAAGGTCTCCCTGGAGCCTTCTCCTCTCCAGGTGAACGTCCTCAGCTCTGCCAGAGCCCCCAGAGCAGAGGGGCTCCAGCCCTAGGAGTGTTGTAATAATTTTATAGTTACTCTGTGTTGATGTCTGTTCCCAATATTCTCTGACCTTGCTTCTGGAATTCCAATTAAAAAATGAAATAATGCTTATAGAAATTATTCTTGATTATAAATCCTGCCCTTTCTTATAACCAGCTATAAAAAGAAACTGATTTAAATGTGTGCACAATGGTTTATAAATGAAAAACTGCATAAAGCTTGGGCCAATTAAGTATAAATTACCTTTGAACTAAAATTGTTGAAAATATATAAAGAATGAGTCTAGTGTAATTTCATGCATGAAGGGAAGTTGAAAATATAATTATTTTCATTTTGTAAACTTTTTCATCCCTTTTTAGATGGTATCTCAAGAGCTGGGGCAGCCTTATTTAATGAAGCGAGAAATGCAGTGTTTGGGAAAGTAGCTCAAAATTCAATCAGGAGGATTGCCAAGAATGTTTTCCTGCACCTTCACAACCTGGATCTGGCCTTCCATCTAAGCAGGCAAACAGGAGCTCTGTCAAAAACCATCGACAGAGGCACCAGGGGCATCAGCTTTGTTCTCAGTGCTTTAGTGTTTAACCTGGGACCCACAATGTTCGAAGTGGCTCTGGTCAGTGGAATTCTGGTAAGTGTGGTTTAGTCATTGTTGGAATTGTCTCATTCAGGAATGATGTTCTTACCAAAGTCTACTGAGTATTACTAATAATAATTGATTTTATAAGGTGAAAGCAACTACATGAAAAGAGAGGAACCCATAGTTTTCAAATATCTGTAGCTTTAAATAAGCTTATTTGAAATTATTTTCACATTTAAAGCCTCTCTTCAGCCAGTTGCATTTATGTGGACAGTTTGTAATGTTTTTCATCAGAATTGTTGGAAAAATGACATCAGAAAAGTAAACTGTGCCCACAAGTGTCAAATCTACCCAGGTGAATAATGGAGAAACAGAATGAAAATGTTGTGGTTCGGTGTATTCAGGATGAAGGAGGGGGTGATTATTGGTTCTTTCCTGAATACTGATTTGGATTTATCCAGAACTTAAAAGTGAAAATTAGCTTTTGACAACAGGCTTCTCCTGGCAGGTTTTAAGCTTAATGCCCTGAAATTTAAACTTCTACAAAATAAATCACACATTTTGTCTTCAAAGTCAAGATCTTTGAGTGTTATTTGGGTGCAAAAATCTAAATCTTGATTATGTATCTTGGTTTAAATTAAAAATAAGAGTCTTGTTCTGTATATTGGCCTTTTTAGAAGGACTTAATCAAGTTTGAATGGAACAGTGAAATGCCTGTTGGGTTACATTTTCTAACCAGTGGAAATTGCAGACCAGGCTGGCTGTCAGCCAACCCTCCTTAGGGCTTTTCTCTCCTGATGTGCCCTGAAGTACAGAAAATGCTTCCTAAGTTGTTTTGCAAGGCTATTTATTTCTTCTTCTACAGTCCAGCTTTCTTTCAAAATCCACTGAAAAAGCATAGAAACAAATACTTATTTGTGAAAACAGCACAAGCATCAGCAGCATTTATGTTTTATAATGGGAAAAATAACTTTGCAGTATTATATATACTGGCTCTTGGTTATTGCCTCCAATCTTTTCATCTAAATCCTTCTTGCTGCTTTCCTTTGGAGTTTAAGCCTTTATTTAGCCTTAAGCTGTTCAGAGCAGGGATTGTGTTAGGAGGGACCATCATTTCTTGTCTTAAAATTAGAATAGCTTAGCTGGAGACAACAGTGAAGTTTTGAAAAAGATGATGATTCTTTTTTAATTTATTTATTTGATTTTAAATCTTCCAGTATTACAAATGCGGTGCTGAGTTTGCTTTGGTGACTCTGGGGACACTGGGAGCCTACGCAGCGTTCACGATAGGAGTCACACAGTGGAGGTAAGGCAGGCCCTGCCCTCAGTTCCTCAAGGTGCTCTGGTGCCTCAGCCTGAACTTGGGATGGTGCCTTGCAGTGCCTGCCTGGACCAGAGCCCAGACAAGATAAAGAGATTAAAGTGGGTATTCATTAAAGGCCTTCAATAGGTTCACCTTGGGCAGTGCAAAAGCCAAAGACACAACCAGGATGGACGATGGTCATGAGTTTTTCAGACAATTATAAGTTTAGTCCATTTACATATCAGGGGTTAATCCTCTAATTACAACTTCAGGCAATGAAGTCATATTCCCCCTGTTTGCTCCCCCCCAATTCACTTTTGTTGACACTTTTCAGGGCCTGATGCAGTAGAGTATCCTTGAATCTCAGGCCTAGAGGGATTGTTTTGTCTGGCCAAAATGTGAATACAGTTAACTCACACTCTAGATAGAGTTTAGAGTTTTACACTAATGCAGTACAGGGTTGGAAGGATATGAAAGCTAAAATCCTCAGACATCAGTGATTGGATCAAACCTTTCTTTCCCAGGACAAAGTTTCGGATAGAAATGAACAAAGCTGACAATGATGCTGGCAATGCTGCCATTGACTCGCTCCTGAATTATGAGACTGTGAAGGTAAGGCCAGTCTACTACCAGGCTCTTTGTCTTGCTTCTGTCAGCCTTAGGGAAGTGAGTCATAAGATTCATCTTTAAAGGAATGCATATTTAGAGCAATAGCATATTTTTAAGCATTATTCATTTGAAGAGGAGTGCGTGGCATTGACAGAGTAGCAGGAAGGTTGTTAGCGTGGGCTGGAAAAAATCTCTTTCTTAATAAAGAGTAAGAAGTTTCTTTCATGGCTGAATCACCTTGACCATCAATTTCTGCAAAGAGTAAACTTAGTCTTGAAGAGGAGGCTTAGGTTATTGGGGAAAGGTTCTTCACCCAGAGGATGGTGGGGCACTGAACAGGCTCCCAGGGAATGGGCATGGCCCTGAGGCTGTCAGAGCTCCAGGAGTGTTTAGACAGCTCTGTCAGGCACAGGGTGGGATTGTTGTTGTGTCCTGGGCAGTAACTGGACTGCATGACCCTTGTGGGTTCTTTCCAAGTCAGGATATTCTGTGATTCTTTCCTTCAGTTGTGAGAACTTTGGAGAGGAGCTGTGTGTCAATGCACTCAGTCTGTTCATGATGGATTTTACAGCTACTTAAACAGTGCAACATGTTTGTCACTGTCATATTTACCATTTTTGTTTATATTGTAGTATTTCAATAACGAAAAATACGAAGCCCAACGGTATGATGAGTTCCTGAAGACTTATGAAAAAGCCTCCCTGAAGACTACCTCTACTTTAGCTCTCCTCAACTTTGGCCAGAGTGCTATATTTAGTGTTGGTTTAACAGCCATCATGGTGCTCGCCAGCCAGGGCATTATTGCAGGTAACTCACCTGTCTGTAAGCCTAAAATGAATCTCCTTTACCTCAGTTCATCCATAACAGAGGTGTTAGTCTTAATTAACTGAGGGTTGATGTGATAGTTCATTTTGAGAAGTTTTGGTTGAGAGTTTTTTGCTTAAATTTTGTCTATATGTTTCTGCTTCTTGGAGTATTATTAACTTTATTATATCTCTCTCTCAATGACTCTCTCAATCATACTATAATTTTATCAAACACACTATAAAGGTTTAGCAGTTAAAGAAAGCTCCCAAGAAAATGTCACTTCAGGAAGTATTTCTTGAAGGTTTTTGAAAGGCACTTCTATAGATAAAAATATTTCTGTGGACATTGTACAAAGATCCTTTCTTTTTGCCCTTCTCCCTTCCCATGTTGGCAAGACTCCATGTATATATACCCCTGTGCTTTGTGTCCAGTAGTTTTGTTACCAATAATTCACTCTCCTTCCATTAATAAGGGCACATTATTAAAAGAATTGCTTCCATCTGTTCTACACTTGTCTAATTTACTGCATAAAGTAAAGCCTGCTTGATTAGGAAGACACAGTACAAGCTTCAAATACAGAATTGGGATGAAGCTCTGCTAAAGCAAGGTAGTTTTAGAGTAAAAATAATGATGCTTTAAAGACTGTTAACATCCAGGAGTGTTTGAAGGGCAGACCTTTATACCATGTGCTCTTTCTTGCATCTGCTTTACCCTTTTTAAAGATGCCAGAGCAGGGAAGGGTTACACTGAACAGATCAGTCAGTAGGTGCAGTTTATAGCTGTTCTCAGGAAGATTTAGAATAGCTTGAAGCAGGATGGTAGACATATGGCTTTAAATCATCTTTCTGGGCCTGTTTCAGCTGAACTGACCTGCCACTTACCTTTAGCTGCTGTGACATCCTGAGTTTTCCCTTGATCAGCCTGTTTGATACTGAGCTGGCCAGAGGTTCTCAGTGTGTTTTAGCAGCTCTGTGGTACATACAGTATGAAAGCTCTCTCTTGATCATGACAAAATCTATCACTTAGATTTGTCTGTAATTGTACTTTAGATTGTCTTTCCTGATTTGTGCTTCCATATATTATTTCCTCCCCTTTTAACTTCCTTAGGCCTCTCTGTGGATTTTACAATCTGATGCTGTATGTGCTGCTTGCCTTATTTGCCAGTGCTATTACATCTTTTTTAAAGTGGAATCAACACAAACATTGCCATTCGTTTCAGGCACCCCTATATAAAATCTGGGAATGGATTCTGGGGTTTTGCTTGTTATTTAAACATCTGTGTTTAGAAATGGGATAAAAAAATTAGGTTTGATGGACTTGGTTCTTTCTTTTGGTGCATCCTAAAAGGAAAACCCTTCAAGTCTCACACCCTTTTTGTCTTAAGGCAGCCTTTCTGTTGGAGATCTGGTAATGGTGAATGGATTGCTGTTCCAACTTTCTCTGCCCCTGAACTTCCTGGGAACAGTGTACAGAGAGACAAGACAAGCACTGATAGATATGAATACCTTGTTTACACTTCTCAGTGTAGATACCAAAATTAAAGTAAGTAGTAGCTTATTTTCCTAAAGTATCTGGGCTTTTAACAGGGCTTTTAGTGGCAATGCTATAATTTCACCATGTTCTCATCTTCCAGGTTTAATTTCTATTCATAAAAGAGTTGTTGTGTGTGAGGTTGCTGTTCTGCCTCTTCTTTAAGTGCAGTTACTGCAATCAGTTGATTTTTTTTTCTTGCAGAGAAGCAAACATTGCTTCATAGAAGCTGTGTTTGTATTGAGATTTTTTTAATTTAAGTATTCATGCCTCATGCTTGAATTTTTATTGGTAATTAATGATGCAGAATATATTGCAAAAGAAGTTATGAAGCAGAGTGTTTACAGCAGGAATTTTTACCTCCTTTGGGGAAAAGGAGGAGCAAACCAATGTCACTTGTGCAGCAAATTATGATTATTTTCCACATATCTGAGCTGGAGTGTCTGTTTGCCTTTTTCTGAGGTGGGAAGGGGACTGTTGAGCTTGTTGAAGTGTTGGAGATAATATCTGGGCAGCAGATAAAGTGTAACTCTTCTTTTCATAGGACAAAGAGCTGGCTGCACCCCTGCAGATCACCCCCCAGACTGCTTCCATTGCCTTTGACAATGTGCATTTTCAATATCTGGAGGGGCAGAAAGTCCTTGCCGGAGTGTCCTTTGAAGTCCCTGCAGGAAAGAAAGTGGCCATTGTAGGAGGTAGTGGGTCAGGGTGGGTAAATGGACTAAATATGCCAATCAATGCAGAATTTAGTTTCTTAAATGTGGTGCTGCTTGTGTTTGCTTTTTATTTTGTATTATATTTATGTTTGTACATCATTCCTGATTGGAGATTGTAAATGGCAAAACAGAATGTAACATTAACTTCAGTTCTTTTCAATTCCAGGAAAAGCACCATTGTGAGGTTATTATTTCGTTTCTATGAACCTCAGAAAGGAAATATTTATGTTGCTGGACAGAACATTCAAGATGTCAGTTTGGAAAGTCTGAGAAAGGCAATAGGAGTTGTGCCTCAGGTATTCCATGTTTCCTACTCCCCATTGGAACAGTAGTTCTAGTCCATTGTACTAGTAATTCTCAATATCTAGCACTGTTCAGTGAAGGCCAGTCCTAATGTAGTGGTGTTGCATGGTGACTTTCAAAACAGCTAGACTTTTTTTCCCCAGGAAATATTATGGTTTTATATGCATCATCATATAGATCCAATTTTCTGAAATGTGTTTAAGCCTCCCCATGAGAAACTGCCTCCAGCTTTAAGTGATTTAGCCTTATAGTTGATTACGACCCGTAATGAGTTAGCAAAGTGGTGAAACTATGCATGACATACATATTTAGGACACAAAAATATATTAATCCCCTTTTTGGGTAAAGAAATGTCCCCAAACACTTTTACCTTCAGGCTGCGTAAAGAAAATACAAGCCATTCTGTATTGATTCTTTCACAGGCTGGGGACAGTTTTGAAGCTGATGTTCATAATTTCTTATTTAAAATGTGCTTCCCACAAATGCAGGATCCTGTTCTCTTCCATAACACCATCTACTACAACCTGCTCTATGGCAACACGGGGGCCACGGCAGAGGAGGTGTACGCGGTGGCCAAGCTGGCAGGGATCCACGATGCCATCCTGAGGATGCCCAAGGGCTACGACACCCAGGTCGGGGAGCGAGGACTCAAACTCTCAGGTTGGCTCCCAGCTTCTTTGTATCCCCTTTGCTGCCTCGAAGTTTCACGCAGAGTTTAATCCTCAGGTTTGCTTTTAGTTTATTTAGCTTATAACACAGAATCATTAAGGTGGGAGATCTCCAAGATCAAGTCCAACCTTTGAGTAAATCCCACCATGCCAACTAAGCCACAACACCAAGTGCCACATCCACTCCTTTTTGGAACACTTTCAGGGATGGTGACTCCACCAACTCCCTGGGCAGCCTGTTCCAATGCACGACCCTTCAGTGAAGAAATCTTTCCTATCATCCAACCTGAACCTCCCCTGGCCCAGCCTGAGGCTGTTCCCTCTCCCCTGTCCATGTTCCCTGGAGCAGAACCTAACCCTCCCAGCTGTCCCCTCCTGTCAGGAGTTGTGCAGAGCCACAAGGTCCCCCCTGAGCCTCCTTTTCTCCAGACTGAGCCCCTTCCCAGCTCCCTCAGCTGCTCCTCATTGGACTTATGTTCCAAACCCTTCCCCACATCCATTCCCTTCTCTGGACACTCTCCAGCCCCTTAATGTCCTTGCAGAGAAGAGCCCAAAATACCTACCTGCAAAGGCTAAATATTAATATGAAGGTCTGCAGTTTAAGGCAGATGTAGTCTGCAAGGTGTTCAAAGGAATGTATTTTCAGGGGATAGTGTTAAATGAGATTGTAAGTGAGGTTGGCAGTGTATCTAAGTAAAAATTATTTCTCTCATGATCCTTTTGGGTAGTGGACTAGAATTGGGAACTTCATTTGTGTTTTGGGCCCTGCTCGTGCTGAGGGATGCAGTGGGTGAAGAAGGAGGTGCTGCCTGTTACAGAGACAGTTCTGAGGGGCATTTCTTTCTCTGCAGCTGCTGCAGTTAGGAGTCCTGGTGCCTTTGAAAAAGAGGGTCAGAGGGTACAGCCAGTACCTAGAACATGAGTGCAGGAGAAAGTGTGCATGCTGCAGAAGGGGATTATGCAGACACCTAAAAGAGAAAAAAATATGTGAAGCACAGATCTGGGTGAGGGAATAGAAGGTGCTAAATAGGTACTGGCAGAACTGAAGAGAATCGTGCTAACAATGAAAGATTTGTCTTGTGCTGCCTGTCTCCCCACACTTATAATTGCTAGAAAGAGGATTTGACTGACAATAGGTTTGACATGTCTTGCTGTTGATAGAATAGAATGGTTTCAATTGGAGGGAACCTTCTAAAAATCATCTAAACCAACGCTTCTGCTGCAAGCAAAGGCATCTGACTAGACCAGGTTGCTCCATGCCTTAACCTTATGTTGAGGTTTAGACTAGATTTTAGGAAAAATCTCTTCACCCAAAGGTTTGATCAGGCTTCTCAGGGTAGTGGTGGAGTCCTCATGCCTGGAGGGATTTAACAGCCATGGATGTGGCACTTGGGGACATGGGTCAGTGGTGGTGGCTGTGGTGGCTGGGGGAATGTTGGGCTCCATGGTCTTGTGGGGCTTTTCCTACCTGCATGATTCTGTGTCCCTGACTCTGGAGCATTGTGTGTGGGTATGTTGGAGTTTCCTTCTGACCTCGTGACTCCTGTAACAGAGCCTTTCTGAAAACGGGTTCTGCCTTTCCTCCATCCTTCAGTTTGTGCTGCCACTGGGATGGTCATAAGCACCCTCCTGCCAGTGCTTCCACAAAGGTGGTGTTGAGAAAGGTAAGGGAATTGTGTTCTTTTACTGCTTTGTTTATATTTAAAGAAGAAAGAGTATGTAAAATACTCAGAAAAAAGACAATGGAATTATTTTGAGCTGTGAATGAGTATCTGCCACTGAAAGAACAGCTTCAGTTTCTTATTTTCAACAATTAGGTAAGTATTGACAAATACCAGTGGTAAACAAGCTTCAGGAATATGTGCAGCCAGGGTACAGGAGTCTCAGGCCAGTGCTCTCAGAACTGGTGTCATTGTTGAAAGGATTTGAGATATCAAATGGAAGACTCTGAGTTCCTTCCGTGGCTCTGTAAAAAGCTACTGCTAATTGGAATCTATAGTCCTCTCAATAGTAGATTGGCTCCCTAAATTCTTATAAAGTATATATTCTTATAATTCTTATATTCTTATAAAATATATATATTGGATTCATTTCAGAATCAGTTTGTGAGGGTTTTTTTTAAGTTGAGTGAGGCTTCTTTAAGTCTAAGGAGAACACAGAGTCCTGATTTGTTCTGTTATTTTGTGGCAGGAATAGGGGGAGTAAAAGCTGCGTGAATTGAAGTGATTCTCTTTAAAATCCAGGGGTTTATGTGCACAATGGAAAAACAATGCCACAATGACAGATTTGCCAATTTAAGTGGTGATGTAGCATTTCATGCAGTTCTTACTGTTCTCAAGGATTGATTCATCAAGAGTAAAGAGTGAAAAACAAGTTGTTTGGGTTGTTGCAATTAAAACCCACATCAGTGTTGTCTAATAGATGTGTAATAGGCAGAGCTGCAACTGCCCCAAATCCCTGACTCTGAATGGAACAGTTACTGTGCTGCTGCCCTCAGTGTGAATGAGGAACAACATGACACGAGTAGATCTGCTGCAAATATGAGGGATCTGGTTACTGAAATATGTATTTTAAACATGGATATTGTCAAGCTGTGAATTTTGAAGATGCTGTACAGGGGAGGGAGGGAGGGAGAGCACACTAAAACAGACTGAGTAAATCATGAAGTTCTAATTGCTCCTGAGTTCTGCCAAAGACAGTTTGAAATGTGAACTGCAGCATTACCACCAGCCTTTTAAATGGTTTATGAAAGCATGTTCTCTCCTGATAGGAATGGAACATTAACAAGAATATAATGGTATTAAATGGAATGTTTTGAAGTCTTGCATAAAACAAAGGAGGACAAGTGCACAAATGTGACGTGCTTGCGTCGCATACCAAATGTTTAGCAGATTTTAAGTTCTCAAATGCACCTGTTTTCCTGTCTGTAAAAGTTGCCCTGAGTTATTCTTGAGTAGATGTTGGCTGTAAGAATTGTTTAAGAAGGAAACTCATCTGAAACTGGGTTATGTCAGAAACCACCAGGCTATAGATTGCAGGCTGAAGGTGGTTTTCTGTACAATATTAACTGTTCTTGAGTGAAATTTGCCAGGATGGGGTGGGAAGTTGGATGAAAATCAAAGAGAGACTTGAAAGACACAATGTGTGAGCAGGATGCCTGAAATCCAATACAGCAGGTGTAGACAGAGCAGTGGTGAGAGAAAATTGGATTTGTATGTGTAGAGTTACTGGATGGAGCAGAGCTTAGGCCTGGTGAATGGGCTCCTACTCCCAGGTGTACAGAGTGGGTAACTGTACAGCATTGTTACTCACCTGTGTCAGACTCTTGCTTTGGAGTAGATACAAAATAGTTCTCTGTCCTTTTCCAAAAGGATGAGCAATCTTGAATCACTAAATTTATCAGGGAGCAGGAACTTGTGTGCTGTCTTATGTAACATGTCAGACATTTGTCAGCAGTGACTATGATGTCTATTAAAAAAGGAGGAAAAACCCAACAACCAGCTCTCCAAAATCATGTCTGCTCTTGAATTTAGACTATCACAATTGTAACTTAATCTTTTTTCTTTTTTTTTCCTCTTTCCCCCTCATTCAGGAGGAGAAAAGCAAAGAGTTGCAATTGCTAGAGCAATGTTAAAGGAGCCACTTATTTTTCTCTATGATGAAGCCACATCATCTTTAGATTCAATTACAGAAGAGGTAAATTGGGATAAAAAAATCTAGAAATTAAGTGATACAATGATGTTTGATTCTGATGCTTTTCCTTGTTCTTTTCCTCTCAGAATTCTGTTCCTTTTCAAGTGTTTTCTCAGTATGATTAAGAGATGCTGTATCGAAGCAGTTCTCCTAAAGCATGGAGCAGAGATGCTCAGTCCATCTACCCTGGAGATAGTGAGGGATATCAGCTGTATCTGGGATATTTTGTTTCCACTCTGGGAGTCCCATTCACCTTGACACATTCATCCCTTGAAGCTGATGCAGGTGGCCATGAAAAAAGCCTTCTAAGTAGTTGAGACCTAATGAAGGACAAACCCCCCTGGTTTATTGTGCAGCAGATGCAGGTGATGTAGGTGTGACCTGCAGTGCTGGTGTTTGTTTGTGTTCATTCCACAGGAAGGGCTGTGACATGGATGTGGTGACCCTGTGACAGGACCTGCATCAGCCTTCATAACAACATCTTTGCTTAAGCACAAAACTCTCAGCACCAGCAGTAATTTCCCAAACTAATGTTGTCCAAAATGAGCTAAGCAACAGCTCTGTGCACTTATGCAGATTGAGTGAATTTATTGACCTGTAATCACTAAATTACTTTCATTCTCCAGATGCAAAGAATCCAGAGGATGAGCTGTACATCCATATAGCACAGCACTGAAATGTAGCACAGCTTCCTCGTGGGCCAGAAATGTCCACATCACACTGAGTTCTCAGATTTTTCCTCTCTTGTTTTGCTGTATCTGTGCAAGTCATAAGCAAAGCAGAAAGTTTCAGAGTAGAAATGCACTTGGAAGACAGCAAATGAAAATGAGGCTTTTCCACAAGAGTATGCCTGGGAATGGAAATGTTTTCTGACAAAAATTTTCAGTGAAATAAAGTGGACACTTCACGTATGGTAGTGAGGGCACAAATTCCCCATCACTGCTCCTTGCAGAGGGATGTGGTTTGGAAGGTGGCATAGAGATCACAAAGAAAACACTGAATAGATAGATAGATCGATCCATTATTCCCAGAATTGCTCTGCCTTTGTCCCACATTAGCATAATACTGAGAGGGATTTTTTTCTTTAACAATTGTGAGAAAGCATTTATATTACGACCACGAGGAGTTCTTATTTTCAGATGCTTTTACTGCTGTTTGCTGCTTGTGTAGCATGGCTCCGTGGGGAAGTTTTTCCTGAAATGAAGTGACACTTCCTTTGTCCCTGGGGATAGCTGTGTTTTTCTGTGAATACAAGTTTTTTTTTCAGTTTGAGCAAAACCACAGATATTTCATGTTTGGGACTCTTCTGTTTCTCCTGTACATACTCGTGGCTATTTGTTATTGGAAAGCTGTAGCAGTACCAGAGATGATTTTCAAAACTTATTTACAGTAATTTGCATATTTCCAGCAGCATTTTATTTCTCCTCATCTCACTCAGGAGTGTGTAAGAGTTTGTGTCTATTCCAATCTTGCAGAATATTCTCAAAGCCATGAGGGCCATGGTGAAGCACCGGACGTCGATTTTCATTGCCCACAGGTTGTCCACGGTGGTGGATGCAGATGAGATCATCGTGCTGGATCAGGTGAGGGCTCACCTGGTCCTGTGGGATTTTCACATCATGTCAGGGTTTAGTTTAGGGACAATGTGTGTCCAGTTTGAATTGTTACACTCCCACCAATCTGCTGAAAGATTTTTTCTTTGGAAATGAATCATGTTTAAAAATTCCAGCCCAAGCTTGGCATGTGTGACTGTCTTGTATGTTGTTATTTTTATGCCTTACTGTTGCATGTTTTTAATCTAATTTTTTGCATGCTTCCATCATCTGAAGTTTCCTAACGTGTTCCCCCAATTCATGCTTCACTCTCATTGCTCTCATTGCTGTTTTTCACATACATCCATTTTTTCCTCTCAGTGGAGAGGACAACATGTTCCGTTTCCATGCAGCTAGAACTATTGCAGGATTGTTCAACCTCATTATGTTAAAAATCTGAGCACCATTCTCTGTTGTACCTGTAGAAAAGTGTGATTGTTCCCTTTCTGTTGGTTTATTTTCTAAGAAAAAACCAACATGTTTCAACATTTGATTCCCTAATATCAGTGTTCAGCTGTTACCTCATACTCATCCAAAGTCCATTTTTTCTCTATTACCCGTATCTGGCAAGAGATTTAAAATAAACAAATGTCCTTATGATAACTTCATAGTTATTCTTTTAACTGATAATGCTGAAAGTACAGTGCTCTAATCTGCTGATAATAGATGTTAAATTTATCTCTGCATTCATTTTTATCAGTTGCTATTTATAAGCTTGTGCTCATAGGTGTCTTTAGTGACTTAAAATACACATCTAAAAGCAAATAAATTATTCCTACACTACATCCAATGATTTCATGGACAATTAGAACCATATCTTATGAAATAGTGACATTTGCTACACAACACTTAGCTTTATATGAATCTCAGGATGAAGTAGTGGAATAAATCACTTGCAGTGCTCCATGGAGTTTTTTGTTTTGATTTGCTTTGTTTTTTCAGCTTTTGCTGAAAAATCCTCTCCTAAGGTGTATCCTTCCTACAAGTGCACGTTAAAATATCTCACAAACAGTTTGTAACGTGTCACAAGGCAATTGGCAGATTTTTGTTTTCCATGCAATTTTTCACAGCTTCTTGAGAGCGTGTTTTGTGTTGTAGTGTAACTGTTAAATTAAAAATAAAAGCACAGCCTCGAACTGTGAAGGAGCCAGGGTGCTTCCTTTGCTGAGGGATGGAATTGTGGATGAGGGAGGCAGCACTGACGTGTGCCACTGCCATCCCAGCAGGATTGATGTGCTAGCAGCCAGATAAATAAGGCTCAGGAGCAAGGATGAGACAAGGTGATTGTCTGGTTTTGCTTAGCAATGCTAATCATGGAATCACAATTCCAGCATCTTTGCTGAGGTAAGATCAGAATCATTCCTGAGTAAAGGTTGGAGTAATGATACAAATCCTTATGCTATGGAGCTGAGCAGAGAAGTTCCATTTTTAGGATTGATCAAGACTTAATAAAAAGAAGCCATAATTCAAAACCTGGTCTCTACTCCAAATTAATCACTTAAAGAATTTAAGTAAATTCTGCAGTTCTGTTGATCAAGTGTACGTTTGTTCAGATTCCACTGCCACAACTACTAATAGAAGTGCCAAGACCCAAATGCTTTTCCAGCTTGTCCATCAGCAAATGTCACAAGGAGATAGATTTAATTGTAGATCAGAATTTAGAACTGATATCAAATCTATGTGGTTGTCTGTATAATGAGAAGGAAAAGTAGCTGGAGAATGAATTAATGTATCAGTTTAATTTGAAGCCAGTGAATGTGTCTCTCAAAGTAGAAAATGAGTTTGGTTTTTGAAGTGCTGGTATTTCTCTGTAGGGTTGGAGATCTCATGGGATTCTCCTCTCCAACTCTTCCTTTCCATGCTGATAGTCAATAAATCATCTCTGCTCCTCATAACAGCCCAGAGAACTGAACTGCTCACACAATTTTCATGGTGGTGATTGCAGTGATACAAGCTACAGAGCACCTATAACAGCACAGTTTGCACTAATTGTTTTCAGGATTTCATCTTAGATGTGCTTTGCTTGTTTAATATAAACCCCTGTCTGTCTGCTCTTCTCTTTTAGCTTCTTCACCTGTGTTTGTTACTGAGCAAAGATAAATCTGCATTTATTTTGGTACACTCCTGACACCTTTGCAGGAGTAGTTGAGCACCTTGCTCCTCCTATTGAGATCCACATTTACTTTAGTAACTCCTGCAGTTTAGATAGGAAACTTTCCATGCTGGTGGGCTTCAGATTTTGTCCAGATGGACAAAAGGCACCTGCAGTTTGAGAAGAGCACAGCTCCTTGTTTCAGCTGGCAGTGCCCACACAAGGGAGTGCACTGTACAGTCAATCCTTCCTTGCTGTTTCAAGCTCTTCCTCATTAATAACTGCTCTAATCCATACTGTGAAACTGTGGTCCAGAGGCTGGCCTATTGCTAAAGATCTGGGAATATGGATTCCTGACTTCCTGCCCTTGTTTTGCAGGGTAAAGTCGCAGAACGTGGCAGGCACGCAGAGCTCCTGGCAAATCCCAGCAATCTCTACTATGAGATGTGGCACACACAGAGCAGCAAAGTGCTTCACAGTCACAACCACCCAAACTGGGAGGAGAGAAGTAGCCACACATCCAAAGAGGAGGAAAGGAAGAAGCTAGAAGAAGAAATTATTAACAGTGTGAAAGGCTGTGGGAACTGTTCATGCTGAATAGGATCTGGATCTTGTATAGTAGGTTAAAAATGCACAAGAATACAGTGAAATACAGCTCTTGTTTTTAAGTCAGCATTCAAAAACTTCTGGGTTTTGCAGTTTTTGAATTTTACAGTTTCACAGAGGGACATAATTTCAACCAAAGGAGTTCTATTTTTGCATCTTTAGGAATCTCTAATATTCAGTGGCATCTGCAAGAGCTGAGCATTTTCAGAAACTTTAAACTTTCCAACCAAGGGTGTAATTTATGGCAATTTTTAGACATTGATAAATTCTCCTGGTAGTCACCTGATGTGGATTATTAAATTGTAAACAGACTTGTCCTTGATTTACATTATTTCTCATCATTGATGGTTGATAAATGCGTCATGTTTTAATTGTAATTGGGCTAATTTGAACTCATTTGCTAGTTAGGAAGATGCCTTTTAAATTCTTCAGTGGTGTTCTGGTTTAAAATCTTCCTTGTAAAGAGTAAGAACAGCCTCAACAAAATATTAGACTTCTAGTAGCAAACTAAATATTGGAATAACCCCTCTCACCTTTCAGAAGTTCATTTGATATTGCACTATCAGGAAATGGATTGATATTATTCTAAAGGAAAACTAACAGCATTTTTAAGTGAAAAATTAGCAAATCCGAGTTCAGGATTCTGTATCCTCAGCATCTGCTGTAGCAGTCAAAGCAGAATACAGTCGCCCTTTCTAATTCAGTCATGGTCTTAGGGAGCAATTAAGATTCAATAAAGACTTCCATAAATTTCTATTATCTCATTAATGTATGAGAAAATGACCTGGATAATGCTGAAAGCATTGCTATAATAATCTCCTAATTTCAACAGCCAAAACTTCTCCAGTGGGAGGAAACCTCAGCCTTTGGGATCTGCAGGACACTGTGGATGTGTCAGGTTTGGGTGGGGCTGCAGGGGTCACATCTGGGAGAAGGTGCCAGAAGCTTCCCCCGTGTCCAGCAGAGCCAAGGCTGAGCTCATCTGCAACAGGGCAGTGCAGTGCTGGGATCATGGATTTGGGAAGGGAGGAAAAGCCTTGGAAGTGTAAGAGCTGCTGCAGCCAGAGTGGGAAATGGGAGAGGAGCAGCCCTGCAGACACAAGGGCAGGGAAGAAGGAGGGGCAGGAGGAGCTCCAGGCATTGGAGCTGAGATTCCCTGCAGCCCA